TCAAAATCATAAATTAATATAGATTTTTTTCTAAATTTGTTTTTGATTATGCAAATCTCTTTTAGTTAACATATCGATTATTTAATTTTATTACTAAATTATTTGAATTATTAGAAGTTTAATTTTTACTTATATTATAAATGTTGTAATTAACTAAACTTTCAACAGGCTAATTTTAGTCATTTTGCTATTTTCAACAAATTTAAATTTAGTTCATAGCCAGTTTGTCAAACATGGCCTTAGTTCCTCTATTCCAAAAAACAAATGTCTACAATAAAAAAAAAAAAAAAAGACAGATTTTATGTAATTATTACACTAGTTAATCTATTAAAAAGCAATTTTATCTTTAATAATAGAGTAAATTACGATAACGATTATTAAAGATTGCGGATTTTATCCCCGTAGTTTTAAATTTTCGGTTATTATCTTTATGATTTGCAATTCGTTTTTATCTTAGTCTCCAAGGCCAAAACAGTCGTTTTAAGCATAAAAGACTAAAATAAAAAAAGAATTCTAAATCATAGTGACGAAAAAAACAATGAATTATAAATCATAAGGAGTAAAACTAGTTTAGACTTTTTTTCACTTTAAAATCTTTCTGATTAATTACAGTAGTTTTTTTTGTTAGATAATTAATTTTTAAAAGTTCGATTTTTTATTTATTTAAAAAAATTAAAAAATTTATAATTCAGTAAGAAAAAGATTATTGACTTTTTAATTTAAAAACTTAATTTTTTAAAATAAAAAAGTTTAATGATTTTTTATTTAAAATGTTTAGATAACGAACTCCAAGTCAAATACATAAAAGTCAAACTTTGACCATAACGATTATTAAAATTCAACGAAGTCCAAGTCAAAGTAAACACTTTGGAAAGAATTTTACAGATACAATGATTGATCGCTACAAGTTTGATGATTCAAATTCATGGTAAGAATGATCAGAGCTTTGCAGAACAATCCAGCAAAACGGATTTCGAAATCAACCCTAACAATTTCATACCTCTTTCTTCTGTGTTTCGTCATTCTCGCAACGGATTTGCATATAACCTACCGGAAAACAGAACAACATGATCAACCAGTGACGAGCCGTTAAACCGTACAGATTCATGCTTCGACCAACAATCGCCGTGAACATCGAGTTGATAATCCATAAATCAATCGAAGGCTTGATGATCCGAGCGATGGCGATCGCGTCGATCCAAACACAGATCACGAAAAGCAAGCCACCCACCGATTGATCGGGGATAGAGTGGAGCAAGATAGCGACTCTGATAGCCGTGATTCGCAGGGCCCATTTTTTAGCGGATCCGAGAAAGAAGGGGGCGAATGTGTTTTTGAGGCTTTGGGGGTTGAAGAAGAAGATGATGAAGTGGAAAGCGATGATGGCGGTGAAAATGTATATGCCGGAATCGTTGAAAAGGTTGGTGTGTTGTTGAGTTGAGTAGAAGGATGAGACGGCGGAGAGGGCGGCGGCGGTGGAGAGTGATGGCCAGAATTTGGTGGAGGAGAGGAGAAATTTATCGGCGATTGAGAGGTAATGGATGAGGGTGTTGGCCATTAAAGGTGTTTGTACCGGTGGGTAGTGTGGTTTGATCAAGTATATATTGGACATTTCTGCAACAAAATATTTTTAATCTAATAAAAATACTTTAATAATATTTAAATTCATAAAATATCTCCAAAATAAAAATAATAATTAATAAGTAAATATCATAAATTTAAAAATAAAAATTTATAAAATTCATATTGCATTTATATGATAACAATAAAATAAATCACAGGGGTGATATTCTAGACTTTAAAGGTCAAAAGTGTCCGGAGGTCTCAAGTTTGAATTCAAAGAGAAATAAAAATTTCTTTGCGGCTACAGAGGTTCAAATGCGGTGACTCCGGACTAGTGATGGTCAAACCGGCCCGGCCCGAGAACCGGTAAGGACCGGTTATAGGACCGAAATCTGGGACCGGTTATGGATTTGGGGTGTTTCGCGGGATCGATTATGGAACGGCTCGGCACGATTTTAAAAAAATGTAACTTATTTTTAAATGTATCCGATTTTTTTGGCTTTTTTTTGTATTTTTTGCTTTCGAAACACTATATATAAGTGTCTTGGTTGAGGGATTTACATACCAAGCTCTCGATTCGTAAAAAAACGCAAACAAAGGCTCACAATTATCGGTTTATCGCTATATTTTGTAAGACAATGTAATTTTAATTATCGTAAAATGCATTTTTAAAGTGTATTTGAGTGACCCAATGACAAATTTTATAATGTATTAAAAATATATATCATTAAAAAAATTAAAATAAAAAAAATATTTTTTAATGACTGGAACCGGCGGCCCATAACCGGTTACAATAAAGCTTGATCGGGCTCAACTTTTTCGAGCGGAACCGGGACCAGTTATGAGAAATCATGGGACCAGCCTGGGACCGGTTTTTGACCATCACTACTCCGCACTATCTGCAAAACAGGTGGTTCGAAAGAATTTAGTAGAATCACATAACGGGTTGGATATCCAGGTTAATAAAAAAAGTAAAATATTTATCCTAAGCGATTACTTTGTTTTTTTTCTTTTTCCTTTTTAGGATGAAAAATGGTGTTTTCTTCTTAAAACTTTGATTTAAAAAGTAATTAAAAAAAATATCAGGTATTAAGTAACATCTTGGAGTAAAGAATTTATGTGGACAAAACGGTAATTCTAACTAGTTATGCCTCTAAGAGCATTAATATAAAAAGTGTTTTTTAACTTGTTTAACGATTGAAATTAGTTCAGAATTAGATCCAATCTAAAACATGTCTTGTATTTGTAAAGTAAAATAAAATGTTGACTTTTCAATATGAAGTCAATCGAAGAAGACAAGAAAGTCAAACACAAAATGATCATTTTTAAGAAAACGTGATCATATTCTTAAAAAAACGTTATTATTTATTTAATCATAATTAGAATCTAAAGTTTTGATCCATATTGTATGTTAGAATCTTTGAATTTCATTTATTACATTTGTCATCCCTATACTTCATTTATTTATAGTAGTATCCTGGTGGCATGGATAACCGTTTTTTCCTCTGCCGTAGTGTAAAAAACTACAAGATCTTGAAAAGTTTCACTTTATCCATTTGCTATGTGTTTTGAAACTATAAGAAGAACACAAGTTTCTCTTAATACTAGTTGTGTACCCATGCAATGTGGCGGGAGCCATGAATTTTAACAATTTTGAAGTTTCACTGGTTTTATTAGAGAAGATTTAACGATGATATAAGTTACACTTGATCTTTACATATTAATACAATTTGAATAAATAAGAGTTATGGTTTCAATCACAGTCTAACAATAAAAAAAATTTGTATGACAGTTTAAAATCCAATATTGACTCTACAAATGTGTTCGATTTACATCAACAGCAAAGAATCAAAAGATCGAGAGCGAAACCGAGAGTTCTAGAGCAATTGAATGGAAGGATTTTTAATAACTCATGGTGAATATCAGTTTGAATCTCACCTTGGGGATGGGAGAAGATATAGAGGTATGAGAGAGTGAAGGCATAAGTGAAATGTGTCAAAAGTATCTTGGAAACATGAAATGAAAAGATAATAATGTGCATTGGTAACTTGTATTATTTGTTATTTTAATTGTAGATTAAGAGATTTAAGACTGGGTGCATAAAATAGTAGTAGTACTAGTTGTGATAGAAGACCACCATGATGGAGGCTATGTACAAGCCAATTTATACGAGAGACATAGCTTATACTACAATCATACTTGCACTATATATATCACACTAAAAAAACATTTAGACGTTTTCATGTCAAAAGTCAGATTGATATATGGAAACAACGAGAAGGAAAGAAAAACATACAAGATAACGTTTACCATCAACATAATGTGGCATCAGATGAAAGGAAAAGCGGGATGATTAATATCCATACGAAGTTCTCTTCATCATCCTCATGAACTCCTCTGCCCCAACTTCTCCATCATCTGAACAATCGATCATAACCCACACAAACCAAATCATATCGTCACCACTATATAAAATGGCATAACCAAACGAGACCAGTATACCCTACCTGGAGGTGGGGTCCAAGGTATAATGTATGCAAACTTGACCTCTACCCCAGATGAGTAAAGCAATTGTTTTCATGAATGACATGTCAAACTGAATGTTACTTGTTTTATTCCATTAACACCTCCCCCCTCAACAAAAAAAGGCCCGGGATTTCCTAAGGACATAGTGGCGGTAATTAAACCAAACGAATACCACCTGGAGGTGGGATCTGGGGAGAGGATAAGATACGCAGACCTGACCTCTATCATGAAAAGTAGAGCGATTGTTTCTGTGAATACCCCCGACTTTATGCGAAGTGTGTACAAAAGAGAAAAGCAGGTAAGCTTTAAATTTTGAAAAGCTGAATGCAAGTGGTAACTGGTGAAGAGAATGACCCCCAAACTGAAACTAAGAATTAGTTTTGTTGTTCAACTCGAGAGCACACCGAATTTTAAACGTAAAGTTAGAATGCAGTGAGTAAAAAGTAGAGAAACTCACGATCACGATCTGCTTCTTCCACCATCTCATGGATCTCGGCATCGGTAAAATGTTCACCCAACTCCTTAGCGATATGCTTAATGTCTTCCACAGATATTTTCCCCTGTATTCACCACACAAACATTAGTGTTTCTAACATGATAACAACCAACGAAGGTCAATAATATTAATACATGCACAAGGTTACATTTTTATCTTGGTCAATGATGTGGAATGCTTTTGTTAGCTCCTCTTTGCTGTCCCTCTCACCAATTTTGGCAGTCATCATGTGCACAAATTCATCAAAATCAATTGCACCACTTCCGTCTTTGTCTACGTCCGCTATCATTTGATTAATTTGCTGAGAAACAAAGGAATACAGATATAATAATTGACATTTGTGAAGAATAAAAGGAAGTTGATTATAAACCAAACCACTTAAAAGTAGGGTCTGGGGGGTGAGATGTATGCGGACCTGACCTCTACTCCAAGGAGTAGAACGACTGTTTCCATGAAGACACTTGGCTTGTGCAAGAGTGTGAGCAAGCAGGTACAAGGAACAAAGACTAGCACATTGTAAACATAGAATAAGAAAGTGAAGAGCAAGGTTCCAAATGGCATGGAGGTGAAGTCGAGCCTCAAGCCCTCACGGCACGACCACGGCATTTTGCAAGGCATGGCTTATGGCAGAAAATCTATATATTATATATATGCACATTAAGTTTCTCTACCATTACTCTGATATAAAGACCATATACAAGTAGGTGATATACTAAAAACTTAATAGGAAATACTAAATGGGTAAAAAATTAGAAAGTAAGAAAAGATCAAATAAAGCCTTATATAAAAATGCGCATTGAACCATGGGATGCCATAAGGGTAACGTAGCATCACAGACGAACCTTGATCCACTACACACCATGGCATACTTTTTAGAACACTCGAGTAGTAGGTACATTCAAAACATACAAATGTAAGGCAATGCAAAACACAAACAGAAAAATAAGGCAGAATAGACACGGAGAAAGCTGATTATCAAGCAACAAAAAAGATCTTCGCATATTAGCAACTTTTGATATCAGAAGAAGATTCAGTAAGCTCAAAATCAAATTAAAAAGTGAAGACAATTTATAAGGAATTGAAAAACCCTAAAATAAGAACAAAAGGAAGATCACATGCAGTTGGATGTTACCTCCTCCGTCATTTCAAAACCCAAGGCCCTGAAATGAGATCAAGTTGAGATTATCATTTTATGCATAATCCCATATCATAAGGTTTCTTTGGGTACAATGAGATGAAGTTCATACCTCATTGCAACATTCAACTCCTTGGCATCAATTGTGCCTATAATTGAAAGGTAATAGACCACACAAGTTAGATCATATTTCACTCAAAAAACATAAGTTTCATGGGATAACGACATACCAGACCCATCAGTATCAAATAGCTCAAATGCTTCTTTGATTTCTTGCCTTTTCTGCTGAGTTAGCCCATGATTACGTCTACCAGGCTTGTCTCTTCTGGATTGTTCTCCGTAAACCCCCTGAAAAGCCATTTGTAAATTTGAGCATCAGTAATGAAAAGATAAAAGGGATAAAGATATATAGCAGATAAATCTAGAGCTGCATGATAAATATCCAAGCATACTGTTACGCACAAGTAAACATGTTTGCCCTCTAACAGAACTTGCAAAACAGAACCTTTACTCAACTTGTGTTGTCAACAGAAGGCTAAGCTATAAATATATCCACAACAAATAAAATAGAAAAGGAGAGAAGGACCAAATCCCAACCCCAGTGGACTTATTTGCATGAAGCATTCCAACATCGTCTTTTGCCAAGACCCTGGTTATATTCCAATATGTTATGTCCCCTTACACTACTTCAGTCCAAGTAGTTTGATTTTGATCAACCCTAAACTAGGCTGTCATTCTGTCAATGCAGCAGAAATGATCAGATCTAATCTGTTTTGACCCATTTAGTTGGATAAATGACCCATTATAATAGACTCAAAAGACCTATTTAATTATGACCATACAAGAATGGGAAGCAACCATTTCCCCTTTAATTATAGATTCTGAGGAAGACAAACTTCCCAGCTCTTTGAAAGAATTCTTGGAAAATGATTGTATACTTCATAGAAGCTTATCCTTGATCCCAACCTTGAATAAAATATTGATCTGTTTAGTAAATTCATTATTACTTTTGTGCAATCACCAAATCCTCGCCCAACAAACCTCTAATACCTTTTCTATTTTGCATTTTCATATCCACATCTTTACCTTCTTAATTTTCTTCATCAAGCACCAGAACTAAAAAAATCATCATAAAAACCACGAATACATATCTTGTTTTACTACTTTTAATGTACAGAATAGATTTGAAAACTTCAGCTTAATCTTGAATATGAATTTGAAAAAGACCAATGTTAATGTTGAAGGTCGATTTTTACCCTTTTTGTTTGAATGGAGAGATTGGATTTGATCAAAAAATAGTGGCTAAATTAGTTATTCTAGTGTCTTCAGGCTGCCCATTTTGCGCAGAAACTCAACCACGGAGGGACCTTTTTCTTCTCAAAAGCACAGCATATCACTCTTCTTGATCATATGCCTTCTCTTGGTCAATTAACACTGTAGAAAGGTCCTTTTTATGACCTATAAATCAGAAGCACCCATTTTTATCATCTGTGGAGCTTCCTTCACCCACAGATTAATCTACATATATATATATATATATATATATATATATCTCTTTATGTAATATTGTAATTTAATCAAGAACCTTATTGTACTCCTTCATCATTATGGTTTTTATAATAATTTACAGTTTATCTTCCATCCATAATTATAGGGATTAGCTTATCCCAAACTTGATATGCATATACTAAAACCGTGATTCTGTTCTAACTCTTAACATGTATGACGAGAAGTGCATTAAAGTGTCTTCCCCACAACTATATTGGTTGAATCAAAATAACCCATTCATCATTCTTTAACCTCATCGTCCTTGACTGCAAGTCTTCCATTCTCATTATTGGTGCGTTTGATGTAACTTACTTCCTTAGTTTCTGTTTCCCTTATCTCAGCGAACTAGCATGCATAAACAGTTTTCACTCTTCCAGTTGCAGTTAGCTTCACATACTACTTTCTTTTCTGATTAGCTTCTCACGCTACTTTCTTATCTAATTAGCTTCTCTTTTGGTTAGTTTTTACTTTTTACTGTTCTCTTTACTCTTACAGTTGTATGGGAGCTTTTCATGGTGTCTTGTACTTCATAATAGCCTTTCATACCTCCTCGATTCCTGCCACTTATTTTTAGTTTGATCTCTGCAAGCTCTACTTTTCCAGTCACCTACTTTGCTATTCTTTCATGCCATCGTCATTGTTTTCCGTATCTTCATTGCTATTCTTTCCAGGAACAGCCTCTCTACCCTCTGGGGTAGAGGCAAGGTCTGCGTACATCCTACCTGGAGACTGTACCTCTGTGTGGGATATACTGGGTTCGTTTGGTTTGGTTTGGTTTGGTTTGATTTGGTTTAACGTCAGAAAAGATGTGTCCATGTGGGTTTACACAAAAAGAAATCATCATCCTCTTATTATTAAAAACTTTTTACTTTGAAATTTTGTATTATTAGCAGATCAAGTACGGGATAGCTGATTTCAGTCGGCAGAATTCCCAAAACAAAACTAGGGGGCACTTCATGACCTTGGAGCCTCTCTGGTAGGCCTCAAAGAGAAGCAATGAAAAATGGTAGCTCAGAGAAGACATGAAAGTGAGTATTAACAATTCCAGTAACCAAATGGATTACCAACCCCCTCCCCTTCACTTTGCATTCAGAATTCTTCCAAAACAACACAAATAGTTTGCCTGTTTCTACTTTTCTAGCACAATATTCTCTTCTCCTTTCTATGGTGCAATTAAAGATTCAAACAGAAGCATATCAGACACATTTTTCCCTTTTCTTAACTTCTAATCATATTAGTATAACTTCTTTCAACTGATCAACAAGCCCTAAACCTCCGATTTCAAAACTCTCGTTTGCTAAATCATCTGCAAATATCAACAGTAGCATCTATCCATCTATACTAAACCCAGATTCTTCAATTCTAGAGAAACCCCCAATCTCGACTAAGCAAACCTTGATCAATGATAAAACAAAACACGATCGAACAAAAAGTTGTTTTGATGTCATAATTGCACAAAACAAACAACAGTTTATCATATAAGGGAAAACTAGGCAGATTTAAGATACAGTTGCATATGAAATTTCGAAAAACGCACCATTGCAACCCTAACGTCCGAAGATCTTTCGTCAAAAACAGCTCCTTTGGCCCTGCGCGTGGAACGAGTTTACTAGAATGAAGATCCGAATGGAAATGGAAAGGAAAAAGAAAAAGTAAAAGCAAGAGGCCCTTCAAATTGTTTATCATTATCACTTACACCCCCTAACCGTTCCAACAATTCTCCATTCTTCATATTTTCTCAAATTCCTTCCAACTAACAAGCCGTTTACCAAACACTTATCCGGTAAGTGTTTATCGATAAAATTTAATATTACTATTTACTTACCAGGTAAGATTTTAGTCTACCAAAACGACATTGTATGCAACAATTTACCCAGTAAGCGCTTACCGTAGTAAAAGTCGTCGCTCTCACTTACAGGTAAGACTCTTGGTCATTGTCTCGTTCTTATCGGGTAAGAATCTTGGTCTTTATCATATTCATCCGGTAAGGTAATGTTACTTGGTTAACGCTTACCCAGATAAGTGTTTAATAAACGGCCCTAAGCAATCACATGAATAAATTTCATTTGAATTCATTGTATTCTAACTTTTTCTTTTCTCAAATTTCAATTATAATATAATTTATTAGCTGATTTTATATACAGCTTTTTAAATTTCATAATTAGGTCAAATTATGCATTAAAATGTAAAACATAAGTTTTGATATTGATGTATATGAAAAAGAAATATTAATAGATATATGTGTATAAGAGGATCTTCAATGCACAAGTCCTTAAAAACTTTTTACTATTTAAAAAGTTGTTATAGAAGAGTTTATTGCCATTAGAAAGAACTAGAAATGTCACGTATAATGCAGCGAGATACATCTTCATTTTAATGTTTCATTTTTTTTGTTTCAGTCGATGTTATAATACAGTTTTATGTGATTTTGAGAAAGCGATAATATTTTTATTTTTGAAAAAAATAAAAATATGAAGATATATCATAAAAATTTGAAGAAAAAAATATTGATATTAGTACCAAACTAACTATTTAAAATTTCTCATTTTTTTGTATTTTTTTAATTTAATTTTTGGTTTAATAATATAATTTTTTATAAAGATAAGAATTAAGTATTTTGTTAAACTTAATGATTATCTTAATTATGTTTTAGATTTTTTATATTTAAAATGATATGTTTATCCTCTATTTGATTATGTTTATCTGCAGTTAGTTACACGAATTCAAACATGAAGCTTTAATAAGTTGTACTACACAATTTACTTGTAATATTGAATTTTAAGTAATATGCATCAATAAACAACATTTTACATGCATAAAAAATGGTTTTTAAAAGTCTTTGTCAAATGTTCTATAATATAGTATAGATAAGTTATTAAGACTTTTTATTGAATTACTTAATCCACACCAACCTGTTATTGAAATAGTAACTATTTTCATTTTACCCCCTTAAAATTTTCATTTTATCCCTTCTTTCAATATAATTTTCATTTAAACTTTAATACATTTTTATTAATGAATTTAATTCATTAAAATATTTATAATAAAAAATATATATTTTATAACAAAATACATTTTAAAAATATCTCGTCAAGACGATTGAAATGACACCAGTATCAAATGCTTTAAAATATACTAGTTGTCTACCCGTGCAATGCGGCGGGATGTAAAAAATTCATTAAGAGGCCATTTATCAAACACTTACCCGGTAAGCACTTACCCGGTAAGCACTTACCGGTAAAATGTAACACTTATCGTTTATTTACAGTGTGAGATTCTAGTCCACCAAAACGGTATCATATGCAATAATTTACCCGGTAAGTGTTTACCGTGGTAAGAATCATCGCCTTCACTTACCGGKTAWGACTCTTAKTCCTTGTCTCGCTCTTACCRGGTAARATTTTTGGTTCTTACCATGTTCATCCGGTAAAATAATGTGACTTTATGTTCACTTACCCGAGTTTGATCATTCTAATATGAAGAGTGATCACCTCCAGCAATCAAGAGAATGATACCTATGAATTTGATC